CCCCCACACACACACCACCACCACCACCACCACCAAAAGTACCACAGGTCTCAGTCTCTAGTGAAGTTTCCTTGCCCATCCTTTTTGGCTCCATGAAGGCGGTAAGAATGCCCCGAAGGTGTCCTTCGGGACATCTGTTAAAATTGGAAAGATGCAGAGAATGAAGATTAGCATCGCCCCTGCGCAAGGAGGACACGCATACATTGAGAAATGGTCCAAAAATTATTGAAAAATAAAATAAAATAATAAGTCAATAACAATACTGGTGCGAAGGTCATCGGCGAATGGCTTGGCTTGCCTGTGATAGATCTCCAGATTCTCCACATCCCCCACGCCCTGCCCCAGAGCAGCTCCGACCCTTGGGCATTGGAGCAGGCAATGGTTAATATTCCCCCTCACTCCCCCATGGCAGATTTCACAGGTCTCCTGATCCGCGCTGCTTGTATGCTTGATTTCTATGCCTGCTGAGCCATGTGTTAATCGCCAGAGCGAGATAAGATATCAGCGCCATTGCATGCTTCTGACCATGGCTTCACCAGCCCGGACACCGGACCAGATACGGACGCCGGATGCCTGACCTCCTGGTCCTATCCGGTCAGCCGGGAACCCGGAATGTTCCGGCGCTTCCAGGTAATCCGGACTGGTCCGGATGCACTGCCTGGATGCCTGTCCGGATGGCTGTTTTTGCCCGCCGGGGGAAAAAAAAAAAAGGAGGTCGGGGCCCCCAGGGGGAACGGTCCATCTCTCAGGTCTGCATCTCAACAGTTCATGGGTGTACCACAGAGGGCGACGGCCTTGACATATTATCATTAAAACTGTATGGGCCCAGGTACTTCCGAATTATCCCATTCTTTTTTTTTTCTTTTTTAATCCCATTCTGTTCTGGTCATCTGATGGTATCTGGATTCGAACTTGGGTCTGTATTTCAACGCATTTCCTGGGTGTATCAACTGGGCTAGGCCCAGTTGGTGTGCCGTTGGCTTTTTGCCATCAGCCAGTGAAAGAAACGGAAGAACCCTGGCCGATGGCAAGAGGCCAGGGCGCCAACTGGCGGGCAGAGGGAAACGGGGGACGGAAAGTCCCTGGATATGGTGCAGGCGCCGTTTCTCACGGACGTTGTTTTCTTTCTGAAACTGGCATATTTCAATGATATTTGTTTATTTGTTTTTTTTTAATCTGTTGTTGTTGTTTGTCTATTGCTGGAATGTACGAGGCATGCAATCCTGGTAAGGTACGGGCGCATTGAAAGGACACAGCCACGCCATTCCCTTTCTCTTCTTGTTCTGTTTCTTTTTTTTTTAATCCTTAAGGACTACTCCAAAAGTGTTGTATTTTCTTCATAAAGATGATGTATAACTAAGCTACCGGGTCGTCGGGCTGCAGATGTCCGGCCGGATGTCTGTGTTCGGATGTCCTACATATGGTCAGTCTGGGTTTCCGGACGTTGATTGCTGTGTCACAATTAGCAACCCCCACGCTCTCTGGCACTTGGGCAGAAGCACCAGCACAGCCAGGCGCGTTGGGGCACCCCATCTTGCCTTGCCCAAAAGCAGCACAACAACATCAAGGTTCTTTGAGTAGAGGCTCACTGTCTTGACTTGGGCAGAAGCGGCACAGTCGTGCCATTGGAATAGACAGCACACCAAGGAGCCTTTAGGCACTGCACCAAATGAGCAGAAGGTCTTGTGTTGTGTTTCCGTAAAAAAAATTGCTTTTTCTTCTCTGCAGATGCCTGCAGGACTTTCTTTTTTTTTTTTTTTTTTCTTCTTCTTTTTCTTCTGTTCTTTGAATTTCTTTCCTTTCTTTTTCTTCTGTTACCCTGAGTGAATGCCCGGCCCGATGCCGCTCTGTGTCGTCCATCCGGCGACACCGACAGTCTGGAGGCCCGTGGAGGGTCCCCGATATGACAATCGAGCTAGCTATGCATTGGTGGTGCTTCAATATGTCCCGGAGGTACTTGACAGGAAGTGCACGCTGGTAGCTCAGATAGGCGATGCATTTTTTGTATAATGGATTTTTTTTTTTAATATAATTTTATATTCGAAATGATTTATCACCTGTTGCTGTTTGTTTGTGGATGCAGAGGAAGAGAAGGCTCCGTATGAGGCCATGTCAAGGAAGGATAGAGAGAGGTATGAAATGGAGAAAGCGGCTTATGGTGAGGGTGGGGGGGTTGGGGGGGGTGGGGGGGGTGGCGAGGCTGGAGCTGGAGACGATGGCTCGGATGAAGATTAAACATAACAGAGGGCTGCCATTGATGTGCTATATTGTTTTATTTTTTTCGAGTTCGTTGAGGATATTAGCTATAGACTGACAGCACCCGCCATAGATAGATGGACAAAAACGATGATGTCAGAGATTCGGATGTCAGAGATTCGGACGTCATAACACGGGCCACCGACGGTCATGCTTGTAAGAATGAGCCTCAGCTGTCGATTGGCCGGCATGCGGCAGACCGAAGCTACTGTTGCCTACAGTTAGAGTGCCACAGCTTCACCTCAGCCGTTGGATTCGATGGCCTGCTCGTGTATGCTCACTCTAGTTTCCCATGCGGCAAACCATCGTTCATCAATGGAGGAGCGGAGTCAGAGAGGACAGTTCAAAAAGGGTGCAGCATACAAAATTAGTTGTAGTCAGTGGTGCCTTGCGTGTACGGCCGGTAGGCAGGGGCTGATGCCTGGAGTTGAGGAGCTGAGGGATGGGCTTCGTTGGTCCTTGTGAATGTGGACGAAGTGGTAGAGTCAATAATATGACGAGAGTAGAGCCAATGGTGGATTGATGACTGGTTAGGATTGTAGACTGAGATGATAGATGATGCGCTTTGATTGCCTCCCAGCCATCTATCAAATTGGAGGAATGTCTCTCCCTACATCAGGTCCCTTGAATATGTACTATTACCTCCCTCCCTCCCTCCCTCCCTCCCTCCCTCCCTC